CGAGGAACATGGATATATATATATGAGTGGGAGCAAATAACCTTTAATTTTTTGTGCCTCTTTATTTCATTTAGGTAGATGAAATTTTTTTTTTGTATTAAATCTATTACTAAGAGAAAAATAGATTGTGTGAATGAAAATAGTGGAATAATGCTGCTAAAAGAGTGGCAGAGGCCACCTTATTCACACTTTAATAAAATATTTAATAAATTTGCATTCTATTGAAAATAACATAATGAATGCATTGAAAGGAAATCCAGTTGTAGGAAATTAAACCGCAAAGTTTTTCAAAGTTTTATTTTTTTCTAATCAAATATGACATTGAGAATAATATTCAATATTGAAAATCAAATATATTATTTTTTTAATGTATTTAATTACAAAATAAGAATTTTACAAATTTTTTTCTATGATGCCAGATAATTTTTTTTATCTATTTTAAGTAAGACGGGATTTATTTTTATTTTGAAATATAGATTTCTCATTAAAACAAGCTCTTATAGTTAATTACATATTAAGAGAGGCAATCTTCTAAAAGAAAAACTCTCGATTAAAGAAATGGCTCATATTGGGGCCTTAGCGCCACCCAGGCGGCGCCTAGCCGCCAAGCTCTCGGGATAACGGTGATTTTTTGCTTGTTTGGGGCTTTGGCGCCCCGTTTCTTTGGCGCCTGAGTGTGGGTATATGCCAAATTTTCAAATCATGTGTTAGACCTTCAGGGACTTGGGCTCGACAGTTCAGAATGCGTGCGTCCCCGGGGTCGACCCCGGGGCGCCGGTCTAGCCTGAAACCTTGATTTTCACCGGGAACTCCCGAGGGAACATTTTTTTCTATCTGAAAGTTATGGAAGACCATATATGAGTGAAATGTAGTCCCATAACTTCAAAATGGAGTATTTTAGTGGGTCATTTACGGACAAAATCAGTGTCAACGGTCGTCCTAATCCGGGCGGGGGTAGGGTGTCCCGAACCATAATTTTCTCGTAATGCGTGTAGGTGGACTCTATGGCTTTTTATGGTCGTGGGAGTTTCGGATGGACGTGTGGTGACTTCTAATTATCAAATTAGACACCAACCACACCTCACATCCCGAATGGCCTCCCAAATGGAATTTTCTCAGGTAGCGTTGAATCGCCACCGATCTAGCTACTTGCCCCAAACAAGTACCAAAAGATCCCAGGCGGGAGTCTTGAGCAACCAGATGTTACATATGAATTGTAGACCACCCTAAGCCAAGCAAGTGGACACCCCACACTCATGAAATCAAAAATTGATCCCAACAAATGACCCCCAACAAGTGTGTTGCGTCACTGAGGCACAGTGCACTTGTTGGCAGCATCCTCAAAAGAAAGTCTCTCTTGTTAGTTGAGGTGACACCCCAAGAGAAGACTAAAAGAAACCTCAACCAAGCTAAATAAATTGGACATAGTATGGTCAAGGAGGTGGCTAGTCTACCGCAACCGAATAACCACAAAGAAACCTAGCCAGTCAAGATTTACTGGACATAATTGGGGGAGGTGGCTAGTAGCCAAAGTTAATTGTCCACCCAAAAAGCTCAGTCAGGCCAGATAAATAGGACAGGGTATGACTGAGAAAAGGCTTGTCTCACCTCATTCAAAATGGTAGAACGACATGTCTGACCTATCTTTGGAAATGACAGAATCAATCAAAACCCCGCATCTGACCTCATTTGTAACGGTGGGGGGGAAGGCTCCATCATCTCGTGTGACTCCAAGTCTTCTATTATGCATCTCCTCAAAGGGACCTCGATTGATAATCTAACCAATCCCCTTGAAAAAAATCACCCATCACTTCAATTAGGTGGATATAAAGCACAAGAAGTCCCCGATTAAATGTGGTGACCGACTAGTGACTCAATAGTATTGTCGACCAAGAAGGCCCAATCATCTCGTGTGACCTCATGTCTCCTATTATGTTTTCTTGATATGAACTTGATTGTGAGTCATATCAGCTCCCATGAAGAAGGAACACTCGTCACCGCAGTCAAGTGGCTAGAAAGAACAAAAGATCCTGAACAAGGTGGCATCTGGCCAGCCAGTTGAGGTGCTCTCATCACCAAGCCGACTATAAAGTCAAATGGTTCTAGAGGCATTCAACCTAAGCGACATGCGGCCAAGAATGTTCGAAGACAAGAAACTCTCATAAAAGAACCAACTCAAAATGGCATATGATCTGAGACCTATTGAAATAGTTAACAAGTTGAACACGATGATATATTCTCATAAGAGCTTACTATAATGTCATCTAGCTCATGAAATGTCGTGTCAAACGGCTACGGGACCAACGACATCAAAAGACGAGGTATCCTCATAAAAGAGTAGACTCTAAGCTCACATGGCTCGAGGAACATGGTCGGAAAGCCAGAAGCAATATGGCTATATAAAGTCAAAAGACGAGGTGTTCTCATAACATAGCCAACCACAGTGTCATATGGCTCAAAAACGGCAAAACATAATAAATTAAAAACTAAAGATGCTCTCATGGAAGAACCAGTTGAAAAAGCTATGTGGTTCGAGAAACTTCAAAGCCAAAAGACTACAAAGATCTGACATGCCTCAAAACTAGGTCTTAATATCAAGTGTTGGCGAAGTGAAGGCGATGGTTCCATTAATCAAAACATCAGATGATCAGGGAGGTATGTATCCTACTTCACATATCAATTGACATAGGAGGTTTGTATCCTGACCGAACATATCAAATGACACAGAAGGTATGTATCTCGGTCTTGTATCAAATGAAGCATAAGGTATGTATCCTAGTCGTGTATCAAATTGGACTAGAGTTATGTATCTTGTCTGTGTGTCAAATGAGGCACCATATGGTGAAATATCTTGAAGTGATATGCTCATAGCATATTAGGACACACAAAGCGGCCAGGTAAAACATGGATCCGTGAAAAAAACCGATGCAACATGTCACTTGATTTGGCGTACATAACTAACCAAAACAATCGAGAATATCAAAAGTACAAAAGGTAGATATCCTGTCTATACATAAAATGAGCCACCATACGGCGTAATACCTTGAGGTAATATGCTCAAAACAGATACTGGACACATAAAACTATCTGACAAAACATGGATCGATGGCAAAACCGATACAACATGTTACTTGACTTGGCAGACTGACCCAACCAAACTTATCGAGAATATTGAAAAGGAGGTAAGCATTTTGCTTATGCATTAAATAGAACGAGAGATATGTATCCCGCCTATGAAACCAATGAGCAACCATGTAGCTAAATATCCTAAGGTATCATGCTCAAAGTATATATGGGACGCACGAAGCGATCTTGCAAGGAGAGATGCTTCTCTTAAAGGATATCAATCTCGGATGATCGAGGTAACAATATCGAGCATAAAAACGCAGTAGGATATCAGAGTACTCCGACATAACATGGATCGGTGATAAAACTGATACAACATGTTACTCGACATAGCGGATAAAACTAACCATTCATGGTGGGGTGCCAAGATGGTTCAGCTATAAGAGTGCTTTCACCTACTAAAATTGAATTGGTGGTTGATACACTAAAATAATATATTATTTTAAACACATATTTTATGGTGATTTTTTGTTATATTACACTTTAAAGAATGATATTTTCATATTTTTATTGTAGGTATATCATTTTTAGGCATTTGGAGCAAAAATGACAAAAAAGATGAAATTTGAAACCAAAACAGTGAATTTTGGCATTTTGGTGCATGATGCGTTAGATCGGTGGATGATGCACCGTTTGACAGAGAACCGACACATGATGCGTTAGAGAAGACTTTTTGCAAATTAAGGCGGTTCGAGATGAATTTTGCGCGAATTTTCAAAGGGACACTTGTTACACACACCTATTCGAGTAATTTAATGCATCTAGACACTTTAGAAGGTTCTTTTATGAAGAGATATGACTCTTAGATCAAATGACATATCTTTTGAATTTAAAAGAGTTAACTTTTGGAGGGAAATTTTGAATTCTTTTTCAAAGGAGGTAGCCAAAATAAAGAGGGGATTTCATAGAGGGAGAAAGAGGAGAGAGAGAGAGAGAGAGAGAGAGTTGGTGTGAGGGGCAAGAGGAGATTTTCTTTTAGGGTTGTAAGAGGAGAGAGAAGCTGAGAGATTTTTTTCTTTATTACACTTCTAAGAGAGAACTGAGTGTGATTGTAAAGAGAGAAAGGCTTTGAGAGAACTTCTAGGGATTTACTTGGGAAAGATACTTGCGAAAGATTGTGAGATTAGTTGTGTCTTTTATTTCTTTTGTTTCGAAAACTTATTTTTACATATGAAATTTGTGTTTTGTAGTATATTTTTAAT